ACACACACACATATGTACAGCTGAAACTTACCAGATTTTGTTAACCAATGTCATCATAAAAAAAATAAATAAATTTAAATAAATTAATTAATTAAATAATCAAGTTTCACCATACGGTTGATTTTATTCATGACTTCAACAAATATCAGTATTTGCTGTGTCCTTAAGTTTGAAATATATATTAAAATAAGTCAGGTATGGCCCTTGTATCCACTACATTTTACACTAAGAATGGAGATATGACAGCTTAATACGAGAAAAAAAAGAATCAAAACTGCAGTGACAGAGAGAGAAAACAAATCTGGTTGGAGAGGTTCTTGAAAGAGATAGTATTTGAGTTGGACTTGAAAAGAAATAAGATTTCAAAAGGCAGACAGAGGTTCTATATGTATTTATTTATACAAGTGTTAATTGAGCATCTCCTTGGCTCAATACAAGCATTGTTTTGTTCTTCAAGCACCTTGTTCCCTGCTCTCATGGCACCTATGTTAATATGTGGGTGTATATAGGAGGAAGAGGTCAATTAACAAGTAATAAATGAATGAAAAAAATTTAGTAAATGATAAATGCTATAAAGAAATTATAACAGAGGAAGACAGTGATTGACCAGTGGGATTGGGTGGGTGTAGTATGATCAAGGTAGGCCTCTCTAGGGTAATCACATTTCACCCAAGATGTAAAAAATGGTAGAAGCCTGCTGTTTGAAGAAAGGACAACAAATACAAAAGCCTAAGGTGGAAATGAGACAAACAGAAAGGAGGTAGGTGTGCCTGAAGAATATAATGGAGAAAAAGTAGATCTGAGAATTCATAAAAATTGCAAGTACATAACAAATACACATTCTTCTACTTAAGATTTTAACTTGAGACCTTCCCTAAATATGAACAAACTAGGCGACAGAACAACATTGTGTCAACTCTGCCGGCCACCAGCAGATGGCAACAGCAGTAGCAAATCTGATGTCATTTACTTGTAGAAACATGTTAACTTATGAACAATCCTTTGGAATCAAGCTGGTTAGAAAACAGAGGCATTTCTGTTTGCTGCAGTTCTCTGAGAGTCGAGTGTAGTCAAGTCCCCAAAATTAAGTGAGCAAATCAGGCTATGCATTGGGATTTGGAGTGGCACAAATGACACTGACATGGGCCAGGTACAAAGTTTGAGAGTTTGGAATAAAGAGGAAGGTACACCTAGGAAGTAGTTATCAGACAGCAAAAGCTTGACTAGCAGTATAAGCAGGGGACAGTTAAAGGTTGGCACCAAAGATGTCAGGCATTGGTGACTAGGCAAGCAGCTGGTTTCATACTGGTTTCCAGAGGTCCTAGGGTACAAAAGTAAGGCCTGGGTAACAAGACTATATACATCAACCAGACAAAGACTCATCAGAAAATAGAGTCAGATGCAGATAAAGTGATTGAGAATAGAGTAAAACACAGAGCTCAGTAATAGGAGTCAGCTTCTCAGACAGAGCTATGTATTATGGTGGATATAGAGAATCATGCCTATAGGTGGCAGAAGGGAAAAGTAAAGAGAAACTAAAAAGAATTTAGATTATGCAGCTACACAACCTTTTAACAAAGCACTGAAGAAATCTGGATATTCTTCCAACAGCTATTGAGAGATATTTTAACTGTACCTCACTGCTCTATACCTTCATAACTTAAGGAATCTCATATGATAGATTTATACTTTAAGAATACCTGAATGAAGTATACATATCTACATGTACACAATGTTCATAATTTTGTACACAATGTTCATAATTTTACTTCAAATAGCTCAAAACTGGAAATAAATCAGATGTCCATCAAAAGGTGAATGGATAAAGTCAGGTATATCTATACAACAAAATACTATTCAAAATGAAAAGAAATGAACTATCGATACATGCAACACCGTGGGAGAATTCCAAAAAGGCATACTGAGTAAAAAAGAAGAAAAAATATACATG